GGTGGCGGTGACACCAGGAGTGGTGACAGCACATGCTGGGCAGCGTGTGCTGCTGCACTGCATCATGTCAGGGGAACCCACACCCTCTGTGGAGTGGCAGCGGGATGGGGAGCTGCTTCTCGAGGGTCCCCATGCCCATGTCCTGCCCAATGCCACCCTGCTCCTGCCTGCTGTTGCCCACCGTGATGCCGGCAGATACTCCTGCCTCGCTCGCAATGCCCTGGGTTCTGCCATCGCCCACAGCTCCCTGGATGTCCAAGGTGAGTGTCTGCCCTGGGTTCAGGAGCTTCTGGCTGGCTCAGGAGGCTGGGCCTGCCCACACCACTGTTACACACTGAGGTAAGACCTCCAGCATGATGCTTTGGAGGGATATTGCCTTTTCTGGCTTGCTCTAAACCCTGTGATTCATGCTCTGGTTTGCTCTCTCCTCTCTTCCACTGCTCAGCAGAAGGTCTGAGCCCAAACAGACTCTCACCCAAGCAGCAACCATGTGCCAACCCACACTCGCCTCTCCTCAGCTTTCCTGCATTTGCTGCCCATGATTAAATTCCCATCTCCCAGGGGCTCTCTAAATGCACAGGCACATCCTCTCCTGCTGCCCCTCAGGAGCAGAGAGCCTGGATGGATAGAGGAAACTCCAGCTGCCCTGTGTGCCCCTGTGTGGCTGCTGGCATTTTGCTGCCAGGCATGCTGGAGAAGCAAATAAAAGCTTGGGGCCACTGCCAGGACCATGATGTTGATACAGAGCAGGGTTTGGGGATGTCAGTGCATGTTGGTGTGATAAGACACAGGCACACTCACAGCATCCCTTGTCAATGTGGCACTGCTGCCCGGAGCCAGGGGGTCTCTGGGGACTGTTCTTGCAGTCATGCAGGGACACTGCCTGCCTTGCTCCAGCTTTCACCTCCAGAAAACAAGATTTTCTTGACAAGGAAATTAGTGAGAGGAGAGTCAGCGAAGCACCCCGCTCTCCCATGGGAGCGCAGCCCCAGTGCTGCTGCCTGACCCCATCTCTTTTGCCCCAGGGGAGCTGCACCAAGTACGGGGCCGCCTGGTTGGTGTCATCAATGCCCACAAGCTTGGTGTCTCCCCCCTCGATGCCAGCATGTTGGATGACCCACAGTCTGGCACCACCACCATCCACAGCAGCATCGGGAGCATCCCACCCACTGTAGGTGAGTGGTCACCTCTGCCCTCACCCTTGGGAGGGTTTTGATCTGTGTCAGGTGTCAAAACTGGGGGAAAGATTTTTATTTCCTTCTTCCCCCAAAAGCAGCACCCAAATCTGTGCCATGTGGGCATGGAGGAGTGGGGCAGGCTGGGTGCCCCCTCAGGAGGGTGCTGGCTCCCTGGTGACACGTTTTCTCTCCCATCTCCAGGACCACTGATGCGGGTGCTGGTCCCCATCATTGCCCCCATTTACTGGTCATTGGCACACACTGACGGGGCGACCCGAAGTGCGTTCCTGCTCACCCAGGGAACCTTCCAGCATGAGTCACAGCTGGAGTTTGCCACAGGTTAGGGATTCCAGCAGCCCCAGGCAGGGGGAGCCTGGTCAGCTCCTGGGGGAACTCGGACTCCGTTTCCCCAAGCACCGTCTCCAGGCTGAGCTCCTCAGCCAGAGGTGGAGCTGTGTTTGGGGG